CCACCCCGCCTCAGTGGGATATGGCCGGTGTGTTGAAAGAAAGAATATTAATAATAATAATAATCTATGTAACTGTATTTGTGTATACCTGAATAAACTTACGTACTTACTTACTATGAACCAAAACCAGACGTGTTCGTCTGTTTGTTTATATACTCCGAGTCTCTGGCCCCTCTCATTTACTCATTCCCCTTCTCTCTCTTTCGTTTATTTGTTTTATCTAAAATACTCACCTCTCTTCCTACATTAACCCTTTCAGGGTTGGTGCTGTACTAGTACGGCTTGCACACCAGGGTTGGTGCTGTACTAGTACGCATAAATTCTAGCACCTTCAAATCTAGCGAGAGAAAGTTGCTAGGCCTACATATGAAAGAATGGGCCTATGTGGTCAGTGTGCGCAGTATAAAAAAAAAAAATCCTGCAGCACATAGTGCGTAATGAGAAAAAAAAAAACTTTGACAGTGTTTTTGGTTTAAAACAGCGACTTTGCACTGTATTTTCGTATGCTATTTATGGTTGTATTCTAGTTTTCCTGGTCTTATTTCATAGAATGGAAAACATATTACAGAAATTGAGATGATTTTGATTGGTTTCACAATGAAAAGTACCTTGAAATTGAGCTCAAAGTAGCAGAAATGTTCAATATTTGCCAAAGTTCAAAAGTAAACAAATCATGCCATACGTCCAATACACATCAACTGGTGAGTCTAATATTCTTTCACAAGTGTGCTGATATTATTTATACCATTTCTACACTAATGCAGTAGTCTGCATAACATAAATCTTCTATTTTTTTGAGAATAAAAATTCAAAGTGAAAAGCAAAAGAAATGTAACTGAGGCCTGGGGACATGAGTAATGAACAGAGGAAATGTTATTTTAGTGGCAGGAATGTCTGTCTTGTTTATTCTGGACCTTATTTGGAAATTGGCATCTTTTGAAATTTGTGTGAAATTGGCAAAATTGCCAATTTCTGACCACTTTACTGGATAGTTGAAATTGGTACATGGGTAGTTTCTTGCACTCATTCGATAGAAAAAATGGAGTTCTAGCGAAATAAGTATGATTTTTGTTAACTGGTACATTTGAATTGGCCGAAAATAGGGCTCAAATGGGTGAAATCGCCAATGCGTAAACATCATCGAGACCGCTAATTTAGCGAGAGCATAATTCCGTAAGTTTTCCATCAAATTTCATACTCTTGGTGTCATTATGATCGGGAAAAGATTCTCTTATCATTTAATAAGAAAAAATAATTTTTTTTTTTTTCTAAAAATTTCCGACCCTGAGAACAAGTTTAGGTGAGGGCCTGCTGACCCTGAAAGGGTTAAGACTACAAATATTTTAAGCTAAGTAATGAGTGTACTATGTGTATTTTACTTTTTTATTGTTTTTTAATACCTTGTTCTGTTGGTAACTTAATATGTGTTAGTGTAAACTTGTTATCTAGCATTTATATGCATTTATAAGTGGGAAAAAAGGGCGTTTCACTTTACGGTGATTTCCGCTTTACAGCGGTACCCTGGAATCTAACCTACCATTGAAGAGGGGCCTTACTGAATTTTTTTTTTTTTATAATATTATATGTTTTTCAAAGTGTTTTAGCACTTTGACCCTTTCAGGGTTTCTGACGTATTAGTACAACTTACGAACCAGGGTTTTTGACATACTAGTATGCCTAAATTCTAGTGCCCTCAAATCTAGTGAGAGAAAGCTGATAGGCCTACATATGAAACAATGGATCTATGTGGTCAGTGTGCGCAGTATAAAAAAAAACCTGCAGCACACAGTGCGTAATTAGAAAAAAAAAACGTTGACATTGTTTTTGGTTTAAAACAGCGAGTTTGCACTGTATTTTCGTATGGTATTTATGATGGTATTCTAGTTTTCCTGGTCTCATTTTATAGAATGGAAGACATATTAGAGAAATTGAGATGATTTTGATTGGTTTTACAATGAAAAGTACCTTGAAATTGAGCTCAAAGTAGCAGAAATCTTTGATTTTTGCCAAAGTTCAAAAGTAAACAAATCATGCTACGCGTCCAATACACGTCAACTGGTGAGTCTAATATTCTTTCATAAGTGCATTGATATTATTTATACCATTTCTACATTAATGCAGTAGTCTGCATTAGTGGAAAGCAAAAGAATGTAAGAGGGGCATGGGGACGTTGCTAATGAACAGAGGAAATGTTATTTTAGTGCCAGGAATGTCTTTCTTGTTTATTCTGGACCCTATTTGGAAATTGGCATCTTTTGAAATTTGTGTGAAATTGGCAAAATTGCTAAATTCTGACCATTTTATTGGGTAGTTGAAATCGGTAAATGGGTGGTTTCTTGTACTCATTCGATAGAAAAAATGGAGTTCTAGCGAAATAGTTATGATTTTTATCAACTAGTGCACTGAAATTGGCCGAAAATAGGACTCAAAGTGGGCAAAATCGCCGATGCGTAAACATCGTCGAGACTGCTAACTTCGCAAGAGCATAATTCCGTAAGTTTTCCATCAAATTTCATAATTTTGGTGTCATTATGATCAGGAAAAGATTCTCTATCTTTTCATGAGAATTTTTTTTTTTTTTTTTAATATGTCGGCCCTGAGAACAAGTCTGGGAGAGGGCCTGTCGACCCTAAAAGGGTTAAACATTGATTCACTTTGAATAATTGGTATATATACGGTATGACTGGGTTTTTTTTTTTTTTTACTATTTTGGTCTTCTAAGACTATGTACAAGGAATACGTATATCATTACAACTGTTTCAGTGTGTAATACTTCTCAAAATATGGAAATAAATAATAGTGATAGACTTTACTGGGTTATATATTTGGTACATATACAGGAGGGCCCCCCACTTACACAGCAGGTTAGGTTCTGGGCTACTGCTGTAAAGCGAAAATTGCTGTAAAGTGATACATAGCCTTTTTTGCACTTTAAAATGCATATAAAAGCCTGTTAACATGTTTACACTATCATATATTAAGTAAGCAATAGACCCAGGCCTAAAAAATGTGAATACAGTACACACATTACTTCTTTCTTTCAACTCACTGGTTGTGTCCCAGCGAGGCAGGGTGGCCCAAAAAAGACAAAAAAAAGAGTTTCTCTTTATAAATTTAGTAATGTATACAGGAGAAGAGGTTACTAGCCCATTGCTCCTGGCATTAGTGGCCTCTTATGACACGCATGGCTGACGGAGGAAGAATTCTGTTCCACTTCCCGATGGAGATAAGAGGAAATAAACAACAAGAACAAGAACTACAGTGGACCCCCGGTTTACGATCAGCTCCCAATGCGACCAATTATGTAAGTGTATTTATGTAAGTGCGTTTGTATGTGTATGTTTGGGGGTCTGAAATGGACTAATCTAATTCACAATATTCCTTATGGGAACAAATTCGGTCAGTACTGGCACCTGAACATACTTCTGGAATGAAATAATATCGTAAACTGGGGGTCCACTGTAGTAAGAAAAGAGAAGAAAACCCAGAGGGGTGTGTGTATATATATGTTTGTACATGCATGTGTAGTGTGACCCAAGTGTAAGTAGAAGTAGTAAGACGTACCTGAAATCTTGCATATTTATGATACAGAAAAAGAGACACCAGCAATACTACCATCATATAAAACAATTACGTACAGGCTTCCCTTTGGCACTCACTTGGCAGGACAGTAGTATATCCCTGGGTGGTTGCTGTCTACCAGCCTACTACCTAGCACACAATACTTACCTTAAAATATTTTTTCCTTAGCTTATAGTGAATAGTGAACATATTTATTGTAGGAAGTCTGAAAAAAATAAAGAATGGGCATAACTGAAAACTGCTGCATTAGTGAAACACCGTACAGCGAACTGCTGTAAAACAAGACCCTTCCTTTATTTTATGATTATTTTATTATAATTTTTTCTACTAATTTGATCTCCTAAGGCTATGTATAATGAACACTTATAATATTACAATTATTTTAGAGTATAATACTCATCAAAACATGGAAATTATTCAGAATGTTTGACTATTGGGTTAGCCTGGGTTATATACCTAGTGTACTTTGTGACTGAACTCCACTGTTAGTATCATGAAATTGTTATAAATTTGGACTGAATAAGTCATCTTTGAGCCATTTGCAAACCCTGTTTGCTGGTAGGCAAGCTGGTGTTGGAACAACAGATCCTGGTGCCTCTGTTTACTTTTGCTAGTGAGGCATACTTGTATGTCAGATACAGTCATTCCCCTGAGTAGTTGAACCATGATTCACTGTATGGACCCTGCTGGCCTTAGATTTTTTTCAAATGTATGGACAGATGGAAGAAGCAGCAGAGAGTTGTCCTGAGGTAAAAAAATACTGGCAGGTGGCAGATTTGTGGGTACAAAATATGGTGTGTGTTAGTACATTGGACAGTACCAGCGCCTGCGTACTAGTATGTCTGACATAGTACCAGCACCTGTGTACTAGGATGTTGGACACTGTACCAGCACCTGTGTACTAGTATGTCGGATACAGTACCAGAACCTGCATACTAGTATGTTGGACACAGTAAAAGGGTTAAGTTTGGCAGTCCTACACTTAATCTTTGGTCAACAAACCCTAAATATTTGTTTCTCATTACTTTTACCCAGATGTCATCTATGAAATCAAAGGGATGCTGTATTCAAAGTGTAGAGTATTTGTACTTCCATCTTATACAATAGTGTATTTTAAGAAGCTTAAGTAACTTTTGTAACTTTACACCAAAAGATACACAACAAGAGTTATATGTGCATGTAAAACATTACACTGATCATGTACAAGTGATTTTTTAACACATATGTGAATGTGTTCTAATTTCAGAAGTAATGCTTTTTAAAAAAAAAAAAAAAGGCAAAATATCTTCAATCAAAACTCAGAAAAGATTTGATCCCGAGCATTCCACATTCTCAAGGTTACACTAATACCTAATTGTCAAACAGAAAATGTACTGCACACTATATTAGGAAAAAAGAGTAATAAAAATCATATTTACCTATGAATTTCAGCACGTTGTTCTTTTGAAAACTCTGGCGAGAAGGCAAGATCTTCAATCCCAGAGTCTTGCCTGAAATTCTGTATAATATCTCTTATACGTTTTTTAAATTGTGGAGTAACACCAGCATCTTCATGTCCAAGTCCTTGTCGATGATGTACTTCATGTGGTCTGAAATAGATCTCAATTTTCATTTCAGTGCAATTTATCTGGGAAGAATTTGGTTTTCAATAGGAAGTAGACCAACTGGCCTTACTGCTTACTGTATTTTAACATGACAGTAGAGCTTAACTAAATATAATAATGATGATGATGATGATAATTTTTTAACAAACCAGTCATCTCCCTATTCTTCTTCCAGCCTCCCTTCAACTCCCATAGAAAATTGGTAACACATTTTGTCCTATTGTATTTCTATTGTAACTAAGTAACTTGCTGTATCTTCACTATCTCTATTCAGTCACTCCACAAAACTGAAGATCATTGAATCAGTTTGAAATAATAAATCATACTTTTGAAATTGTATCATTTGTTCATTTGCTATCTTTCTTACTGTACATATGACTGTAGTTAACTGCAAAATAAATCCTACTTAATAGTCTATGTCTAAATCTTAAGTAACTTTTAAGTGTCAGGATTAGTTTACTCAAAATGCTTTACATATTAGTGGCTTTCTTTCATGCCTACCAATGTTTTCTTACATGCAAACTATGCTATTTGTACTCCATAAATAAAAATTGTATTGTACTGTAGTATATAGTATGCCTCAGAACATGATTAATGAAAACAAGAATGGTTGCTTTAGTGGTTGAAGTGTTTGTTTTTTGGCTTTTTTAAATTAGAATAAATTGAAAATTGTATAAAATTGGCAAAATTATCAATGTCTGTGCACTTTGTAGGGTAATTCTGATAGTTGAATGGACAATTTCTTCTGATCAATGGAGAATACAAAAGGCATACTAGCAAACTGGATTTGTTTGAGCACTGGAACTGGCCTAAAATAGGCTTCAAGGTAGGCAAAATCACTTGTATAAAGTGCTCTCTGACCTCCAAATTCACAACTGCATAATTCCATAAGTATTACATTATATTTTAGATTTTTAGTGTCATTAAATATAGAAAAAATTCTCTTGTCATTTTAGAAGGTAAATTTCTGCATATTTTTCAAAAATGGCAACACAGAAAGGGCTTTCAATTTGGGGAGGTTTGAAAGTGAAAGGGTTAAGAAAAGAATGAAAGTCTTCTATAGCTGTTGCTGGGTTGATGGTTAATAATGATCAGTGACATATCTGGGGTTAGGCATAACTTAACTTAACCCCTTCCATGTTTCCCACATAGATCTACGTTTTAAACGCAGGAGCCTCATATATGCTGCAAGCGGTAAATTTTGGCCTAGACATGAGGAAATGGGCATGTGCAGTGAGTGTGTACAATATAAAAATTCTGCTCCACATGATGCATGGTGGGAAAAATAAACCTCTGAGCTATTTTTGATGCAAAATAAAGATTGCAAGGGGTTGTCTAGGTAGGTTTTTATTATTTTATTGGCCGTCTCTTGGTATCAATTGAGAGAAAGGAAGATATACTAATGACAGAGATGATTTTGGTTGGTTTCAGGACCAGAAGTAGCTTGAAATAAGCCTCAAAGTAGCAGATATACAATATTCGATTTTTGGCAATTTTCCTGAGGAAGGGTAGGGCCCACATTCCCTTCCACCCTAAATCTGTTTTAACAATGTTTACTACATTTGCTGCTATTACTGGGATGCCCTAAACCATGGCCAATCATTCTTGGCTATATTTTATTATCCAAGAAACAGGCCAAAACTCGATTTTTGGTCTGATTAATTAGTAACTAAATAACAAAAAGGCACAATACCATGACTGGAACAATACACAAATAACTGGCACATTTATTTATTTATTTATTTATTTATTTATTTATTTATTTAATAATTTGAACATACATACAGAGGTACATAGGAGAGAGAAGCTTACAATGACGTTTCAGTCTGACTTGGACCATTTATAAAGTCACACTGGCAAAAAGGAAAGATGGAGGGAGTATACATAGGCCAGCAGACAGGGACGGGACAAGAGAGGTAGTAGGAAAGAAAGAGACGTAGTGGTAGAGGTAGTAGTAGCCGAGTCAGTCAAAGACTAAGAGGAGCACTACAATGTACCTTTGAAGAGTTTTGAGAATTTTACTAGTACTCTCAGAGCCTGGCCATGGGCCAGGCTCATCCAGTGCTTGCCTGATCAACCAGGCTGTTGCTGCTGGAGGCCCGCTGCCCCACATATCCATTAGTCTGGTTGATCTGGCACCTGGTGAAGATACTTGTCCAGTTTCCTCCTGAAGGCTTCTACACTTGTTCCAGCCATGTTTCTGATATCTTCTGGTAAGATGTTGAATAGTCTGGGATCCCAGATGTTGATAAAGTGCTCCCTTATTGTCCCCATTGCACCCGTGCTCCTCACTGGGTTTATTTTACACTTCTTCCCATATCTCTCACTCCAGTATGGTGTTATGGCAGTGTGCAGATTTGGGACCAGGCCCTCGATTACTTTCCAGGTGCAGTGGAGCCTCTACTTGCGAGTGCATCTGCGTGTGAGCTTTTCCAAATACGAGCAGTCGATGGGTTGATTTTTTGTTTCCATACGTGAGCAAAATTTCCAAAAACGAGCAGACCTCAAGGCAGGTTCCTTGATGCTGGTGAGGGACTCTTGCTCTTGATCTAGGGAATTGTATCTCATTTGTTTGTTGGACTATCTTATTGAAACTTGGGCAATGTATAATGAAAAGATGCTTCTTAACGTGCACCAAAAATGAAAGAAATCTAAGCATAAATAATGGAGTTCACTTCTCAGCAATTAGCCACCCCTTAGCGGTATTTTCGTATGGTTTTTATGGTTGTATTCTCGTTTTTTGGTTTCATTTGATAGAATAGAAGATGTATTACAGAAATAGATATGATTTGGATTGCTTTCACGACGAAAAGTACCTTGAAACTGAGCTCAACACAGGAGAAACGTTCGATTGTTTTGGCTATGTTCAAGAGTAAACAAATTACATCACTGTCCATTCATTCCAATATGCAGTCGTGAATGGGTTGACATTATTTATACAATTATTGCAATAAGGCATAACAGTAAATCTTATATTTTTTGTGTGAATAAAAATTACAAATTATTTATATTGTATAATAATAATAATAATAATAATATGTATAATAGTAATAGTACGTATAATAATATAATACAATAAGAATAATAAAACAATACAACAAGAATAATAATATAATACGTATAATATTACATATATAATAATAATGTACTACATAATAATAATTATGATAATAGAAGGCTTCAAAAGGCCGTCACTAGATGGCAGTGTTTACCACAACATAGAGGGAGCGGTTGTGGCCACCTCCACCTGTTACATAATGGCATATTTTATTCATTCTAGAGTATATATCGGGTTTCTGTGTTATTTATATTGTTTATTATTTCATATTAGATGAACTGTGATAGATAAAGAAGCCGTAGAGTTGATGATAGCAAAATATTCAAGGGGTATTTTGTCCTGTCTCCAGACAAACTCTCGTCAGCTGTCGCTGCCACCACATATATAATGACATATTCATTCTCGAGTATATATCAGGTTTCTATGTTATTTATATTGTTTATTATGTCATATTAGATGAACTATGATAGATAAATAAGCCATATAGATGATATTAGCGAAATTATTTAAGAAGTATTTTGTCCAGTCTCCAGACAAACTCTCGTCCACCACGACACCGCCCATACCACTGCATGAATTACATATTTTATTCATTTTAGAGTATATATATCAGGTTTCTATGTTATTTATATTGTTTATTATGCCATATTAGATGAAGTGAGATAGATAAATAAGCCGTAGAGTTGATATTAGCGAAATTATTGAAGCACAGAATTCCACTGGACGGATTAATTGCATTTCAATTAATTTAAATGAGGAAAATTGACTCTGCAAATGAGCAAATCCAGTTGCGAGCAAGGTCATGGAACGGATTAAACTCGCAAGTAGAGGTTCCACTGTATATATTATCATGCATTTCTCTCTTCTCCACTCCAATGAGTACAAGTTCAAGACCTGAAGGCGTTCCCAGTAATTTGCATGCTTTACTGGCTCAACGCGAGCTGTAAACGATCTCTGTATTTGTTCCAGCTCTGATATTTCTCCTGCTTTGAACAGGGCCGTCAGCAATGAGCAATATTCTAAATGAGGTAGCACTAGCGATTTGAAGTGTCACCATTGGCATTATTTCCCTTGTTTTGAAAGTTCTCAATACCCACCCTGTCATCTTCCTGGCTGTTGTGATTTTTGTCTTATGTTCCTTAAAAGAAAGGTCAGCTGACATAATTATTCCCAGGTCTTTTACATGTTCGTTTTGTTTTATTTGGTGACCCTCTTGAGGTCTTCATTCTTTCCATACCTAAGCAGGTGGAACTTATCACCACTGAACATCATGTTGTTCTCCACTGCCCACTGGAAAACCCTGCTTATGTCTTCCTGTAATTTTTCAGTGTCCTCTACCGTAGTGACTTTCATGCTTATTTGAGTGTCATCTGCAAATGATACAAAACTGTGATGGGTGTTTTTATCTATGTCTGCTATGAAGATGAAAAACAGCAGAGGTGCCAGGACAGTGCCGTGGGGCACTGAGCTTTTGACCTCACTGATGCTACAAATTTCAATCAGAAATTTGCACTCTTCATAATTTTCCTGTCTTGGCTACCCTTCCCATTTCATAGGCTCTGCCTTCTCACATGCTAAATGGACTTTCTTCTCTCTCAAACTCTACTCCTGGGAACTATCCTGTCCTCTGCTTTCCCTATACATGTATTTCCAGTCTTTCTAATCTCAGCAACTCTCTTCGTTCCTTAGACATCAAACTTACTTTTCGCCAAACTAACACTCTTCGCACCAATCTAGTTTATACCTCTCCTCCCTCTATAGATTCTCCTGGTGTCTATGTCTTGTTCCTCTTGTCCTCTTCAGTACTTTGGAGAAACCAGCTGTTATCTTTCTTACAAACTCAAGGAGCACAAAAGAAGTGTTAGGCTTGCCAACACCAACAATTCTCTTTTCTGTCATGTCAAAGATTGCAGTCATCCTATTGACT